TATCCTTCTCATAATCCCAGGGGGCATTTCCAGATCACAGTGCCCATTACCTATGCCTGTTCTCCATTTCTGATCAGGTGTGAGAGGAATACAAGTGGACCAGAGTCCTCCAGCCCTGAGTCTCCACGAGGGCGCCAATTCCATGTTGTGGTGCAATTTTTCTTCTTCTGTGAACAACGTGCAGTGGTTTCGCCAAAATCCAGGGGGACCTCTCATCAACCTGTTCTACATTCCCTCAGGGACAAAGCAGAAGGGAAGATTAACTGCCACAAAAGTTGCTCAGGAACGTCACAGCTCATTGTACATTTCCTTTGCCCAGATGACAGACTCAGCCATTTATTTCTGTGCTGTGGAGGCACAGCACTTCCCCGGCACCTGCAGCCTGTGCACAAACCCTCAGCAGGGCTCAGCTCCTCCCTCAGTCTCAAGTACAGCAGGAGGCCACCAGTGCAGCCTTTGCACAGCTTAATGTTCCTTACCTACACAGGCAGAGTTTTATCTCAGATGCTTTTTTGCTCTACAGGTTAGGACTTTGGTGTTGGTTTTCCCTTTTTCAATATGCATCTTGTCCTGCACTATGAGTATCTAACTTGGAACTAGTAGAACAGCTGATAAGAAGACAGAATCAAAATAATTGTTTAAGCTTAAGTGTGCTGGACCCTAAAAGGGTCATAAGTAAAAGGAATAAAAGGAAAAGAGAAATGTTCCAATAAAGATGTTATTAGATATCTTATGCAATGATCTACTTTGCAAAGATCAAAGTTTCTCCAGCACATTCAGCACTACTTCACCAGGACATGTACCAGGCAAGGGCAAATGTTTGTATCCCATCCCCCTAGTGCAGCAAGGAAAAGTAAAATTTCTCTGAATACTTATATATTGATAAATGGCTGTGAAGAAAATAGTTTAAAATACTATGTTCCACTCAACTAAGTCCCATTCATGTTCTTGAGACTAATATATATGTCCCAGGTCTACATACTTATTTCCTTTTGTACACATTTTAGAAAGGAAAAAACTAAGAAAATTTTAATAATATATACTGATAACAAAAGATGAATACAAATCACACTGAGCACTTCTTGTGGTTGTAGAAGTCAAATGTAACTTAAGTATTACAAGTTTAACAGTTTTCTCCTTTCCTAAAATATTCATACAGTGATTTAGTGCCCTTTTTATTCATGTGTGTGTGTGTTTTTATAAAATTATATATCCAGCCTGACAATCAAGTTTGTGTTTGCCAATTTACACTTACCTTGCAGTACTGTACAAACAATTTGGTAAGATTTCATAACCTTTGTATATCATTGTCTCACCGTTGTACTGGTTTTGACATGTAGCAGTCTCTTGATGAGTAGTATTCATTACTGTTGTTGCATGTCTTTGTGTGCCATTGTCAGAATGTCATAACTTAGAGCAATGAACAAACACTAAATTTATACATTTTCCTTATTTTTCTATATATTTCCTATATTTACTTTGGGCCAATCATAGGGAATTCTTTTCTGTTGCTGATGCTTCTTGTTGACTCTAAATCAGCAGTCCCCACCCTTTTGAGCAGCAGGGACTGGTTTCATTTAAGATAATTTCCCAAAGACTAGGGGTGGGAGGAGCATTAGATTCTTATAAGGAGCTTAAAACCTAGATCTCTGGCATGCACAGTAGAGTTTTTCTCCTATGAGAATCTAATGCTGCTGGTTGTGTGACAGGATGTGGCCCAGAGGCAGTGATGTCACCAATGGGGGAGTGGTTGTAAATATAGAGGAAGCTTCAGTCACTCCCCTGCTATGCAACCTGGGTTTGTAACAGGCCACAGATTGGTGGGGATCCTATACCTGAGGGTTGGGTACTGCAGCTGTATATAATGCTGAAGATAAGTTAAAACAATTTTATAAAGAAGATGAGATAGATAGACTGGAAGATAGTTGTTTAAGATAGACATAAAAAATCATTTGGACTTGTTTTCTTAATCAAATCTGGGAAATGTTGGGTTGTGGTTGCAAGTGTCTTACAGTTCCTTTTTATAATATTTCTAGATTTATTTGTTTGTTGTTGATTCTTGTGGGGGGCGTTCTACATGTCACCATCCAAACAAATGACTCAGAAGGTAATGCAAAGACTAAAACTCAATAAAACTTATGCTGATTAATGTATGAACTGAAGATCAGATCTCTATAGCCAAAAATGTTTGTCAAGAAAATCAACAATAGTGAGAAAGATCTGGACAATCCTGCAATAGTCTTCTGCAGCTTTGGTTACATGAAGACCAAAAGAGTATGGAGGACAGGTGAGGAAAATAAAATTTATTCCCATACACTTAAGAAGACAGATCATTCCACATCCATGGTAAGAAATAGCCACCATAACTAGTTTTGTACCTGTTCAATGAGTTAACAAGTAACCTCAGTGAACAAGCTTTTGCAAATCAAGCAATCAATGTTAGCTCCTGGCTTCTGAAAGTCAGCCGATCCTGAACACATGCCAGTGAACATGCCCTTGAGTACCCACCAGTCAGTAACAGTGACCATGCTTCTACCGATTGTTAATTCATTAACAGCTCTGAAGTGTGACAATCTCTGAATTCTATGGTTCCCCCAAATCCACTGTAAATCAGCCATTTATATGCTCAGCAAGATCATGTCTATTTGCTTAACCCTCCTCTGCTATTATTCACAATAAGTGCAAATTGTCTTTAGATTTCACGGATTCAATAGTGTCAAATTCTTTGGCAGCTCAGAACAGATCTTTGTGGGACATTTGGACTTGGACAAATTATCTTACTTTTTTTTTTAAATATTTATTTTATTTTATTTTATTTATTATATTTTTGGGGATAGAATCTCACTATGTTATCCTCGGTGCCCTTGGTAGAGTGCTGCTGTGGCATCACAGCTCACAGCAACCTCCAACTCTTGGACTTAAGCAATTCTCTTGCCTCAGCCTCCCAAGTAGTTGGGACTACAGGCGCCCACCACAAGGCCCGGCTGTTGTTGTTGTTGTTGTCATTGTTGTTTTAACAGGCACAGGCTGGGTTTGAACCCATCAGCCCCGGTGTATGTACTGACAACTAACCACTGAGCTATGGGTGCCGAGCCATTCTTACTATGTTTTTCAGCACTCGAAACAAAACAACATCAAGGATATCTGCTCTTGTTTGAAATCAGTATCAACAGAAGTAGTTGACGTGGTATCAGAACTTAAAAAATCATCCAACCTTATGATTATGGGAAAATTAATGTCTCTATAGATCATTGTCGTTATAATAGTGATGTTTATTCTATACATCTGTACAGTCACTAATTCCAAAACCAGCTTTTTGAAAGCAGTTGTGAATAACATTTAGGGCATTTGTGTTCCACATAGCAGTAAGATTCTTCACTGGATAAAGAACATGACATTTTTAAAAAAGTCTTTAGTGAAGATATTTTTTCTTATTTCACATAACATACTAGTGCTTACAGCATAAAAGTTGTGATGATTAATTACACCTTCATCTAATGATTGTATATAAATTGTACTGAAAGGCAAAAAAGATGTTGCATGTCTAGTTGCTTTGGGTGTTCAAAATCAGATTTTGTTTATTTTGGTAAGTCATTCTACTATCTAATTGTAGGGACCATTTCCTGAATATTCTTATAGGCATCAGGGTATTCAACACACACACACATATTTGTGTTTATAAAGGGGATTTTCAAATTTCCCTACAAATGGTTCTACTGTCTCTATTATCAGTATCACAGCACAGTAAGACTTTTACTATTTTTAAAAAATATTTTAAAGACAGAGTCTTGCTTTTTCACCTGGGCTAGAGTGTAGTGGCATGATCATAGCTGACTGTAACCTCAAACTCGAGTGATTCTACCATCTCAGCCTCCTGAGTAACTGAGATTACAGACATGCACTACTGTGCTGGGCTTTAAGACTTAATTCTCTCCACATATATGTATGTGTGTACATATATGTATACATATTCACAAATATCCTTCTATCTGAGGGAACCATTGGCTCAGAAGAAAGACTTGGTTACTTATTTCAGTGCACTGATAGATGTGGGGGTTACTAAATACAAAGTTTTAAGAAGTTGGAAAACTGTTCAGTGTAAATTTTCTATATGGCCACAAAGGGGCAATGCTGTTTCAAAGAAAATTACATATCTTCGTCATATAGCCAGAGATTATCTTTAAATAGTAAATTTAAAGTCTAGTAAATTTTAATCATCTAGTCTTCTCTAATTTATTACTAGTCTAGTAAATTTTAATCACCTAGTCTTCTCTAATTTATTACTACTTGAATATATGTATACACACATATAATGTATCTATATATATGTATACATCTATCTAAATGGTATCTGTATTAAGGTTGAAAAATATGACTATGTAAGTCAACCCTTCTTTGAAGGATACACGATATACTTCCAGGCTGCATCATGGCTCTAATATAAATTTGAAGTATTTTTACCCACACATAATCCAACCTCTAGCTACTCTAAGTTAAACTCTACAATTCCCTTGTTCTGTTCCATGACTTTAGCTTGTAATGGAATATTATAGTAGTCAGTGTTTGTTCTCAGTTAATTTCATTAGCATTTCTAATGAAAAAAAGAAATATCACTACACATGCTAATCTATAGCTTCATGCTAATCTTTAGCTTCCTATTGTAGAATAAGGCAAGGTCTCTGACACATTCAGCTGTCCTACCATGTGATTTTTAATACCCTAAAAAAATATAAGGAAAAGGTAGAGGGGGATTGAGGAGAGAAATTTTAAATTGATCTTTGTCTATGTGTAAGGAGAGGATTTCTGATTTCCAACAAATGTATTTTTAGCAATTCTAAATGTGGACAAAATGGGGAAGTGCTTCCTTTAACAGAAATGGTTTAAGTGAAAGTACTTGTGAAAGGGCGGGGCCTGTTGAAAGAATTCAACCCAGCAAGAACAGAGTCAGGAGAAAACTGTTGGAGTTGTTCCTGAGCTCTGGTGCCAGGGGAGATGGACAAGATCCTGGAAGCATCATTTTTAATTCTATGGCTTCAACTATGCTGTGAGTTGTGGAAGAGAAAAGCAGGCTATGTTGCTAATTGGGTGGATGAGAAAACTGGGGTAGAGAAAAACTTATGCAGGCAAAAACTAAGAAGGAAATATTATTTAGGAGGCCTAATGACTTTCTGTTATTTTTCTAAACAGCGGTGAGTGGCCAAGAGAAGGGAAAAAGTGACCAACAGCAGGTGAAACAAGATCCTCCATCTTTGGTAGTCCAAGAAGGACATACTTCAGTTTTGAAATGTACTTATGAGAACAGTGCTTTTGACTACTTCCCATGGTACCGGCAATTCCCTGGGAAAGGCCCTGCATTTTTGATAGCTATACGTTCAGTTAAAAGGGAAGAGGAAGAAGGAAGATTCACAGTCTTCTTCAATAAAAGTGCCAAACACTTCTCATTGCACATAAGGACTTCACAGCCTGGAGACTCAGGCACCTACTTCTGTGCAGCAAGCACACAGGGCTCTCCAGGCACCTGCAGCCTGTACTGAAACCTCTAGCTGAGGCTCTAGGCACACCTGGCAGTGGGGACTTAGACAGGCAGATGTGTGGACTAGTTTTCGTTTGCATGTAGAGGTGATGAAATAATGTATAAACCCAGTATGAGAGGTGGTTATTAAGGTAAACAAAAGAAATTTAGCTTAATGAATGACCAAATTGTAAAATTTTTTTCATAATAGTTGAAGTATTTGAAGTTGTTTTAAGCTTTCAGCCAGTTGTGGAGATACTAACATTTATACATTGCTGTGGGAATGCAAATTGGTATGACATTTGAAAGCCATAAGGCAGTTTCCTACAAATTACTCTCAACACATGATCAGAAATTCCTCTGCTAAGTATTTATCCCAAATAAATAAAAACAAGGCCAAGCATGGTGACTCATGCCTGTGATCTTAGCACTCTGGGAGGCCCAGACAGTGGATTGCTTGAGCTCAGGAGTTTGAGATCAGCTTAAGCAAGAGAAAGACCCCATTCTAAAAACAGCTGGGCTTTGTGGCAGGCATGTGTAGTCCCAGCTACTCGGAAGTCTAAAGGAGGAGGATCACTTGAATTCAAGAGTTTAAGTTTGTTGTAAGCTATGACATGATGGCATTCTATCCAGGGCAACAGAGGATAGATATTCTCAGGGTTCAGTGACTTATGTGAGTAATCCCAGCACTTTGGGAGGTCAACGCAGGGAGATTGATTGAGGCCAGAAGTTTAAGATCAACCTAGGCAATACAGGGAGACCTCATCCCTACAAAAAGGGAAAAAAATTAATTGGGTGTGGTGCTGCATGCATATGGTCCCACCTACTACAAGGCTGAGGTGGGAGGATGCCTTGAGCTCAGAGATTTGAGGCTGCAGTGAGCTATGATTGTGCCACTGCACTCCAGACTGGGTAACAGAGCAAGACTCTGTCACAAAAGTAAATAAGTAAATAAATAAGACATATATTCACATAAGGACTTTTGTTTATTGGCAATCTTATCCATAATTGTCTCAAACTAGAAATGTCCATTGATTGTTGAATCAAAGAAAAACAAATTGTGGCATATTCTTACATTCCATTATATATAGCAAGATAAACAGGATAAAGTAGGTGGAACAAGATGGTAGACTAGAGACACCACCTTATCAGCCACCTGCAGTGAGACAAGGGAGAGAGGACTCCAGCCACCTCTGGTGGGGGGAACCTACTCAGAAACAACACTAACAGTAAATGTTAATGGCTTGAATTCTCCACTGAAGAGGCACAGGGTAGCCAATGGTGAAAAAAACACGAGCCATCCATATGTTTTCTTCAGGAAGCACACCTAATCTTGAAGGACAAAATAAGACTCAGGGTGAAGGGTAATAAAACAGTATTTTAGGCAAATGGACATCAGAAGAAAGAAGGGGCCACAATTTTATTTTCAGATACAAGTGGATTTAAAGAAACTAAAGTTAATAAAGACAAAGATGGTCCCGTTATATTGGTCAAGAGAACAATACAACAAGAGGACATTTTAATTCTAAATATTTATACACCCAACATAAATGCTCCCAGATTCATGAAACAGACCTTAACTGGTCTGAGCAATACAATATGATATCCTATAACACCATAATAGCTGGGAACTTTAACATCCCTTTGACAGAAATGGACAGATCCTCCAAACAGAAACTGAACAAAGATACGAGGGACTTAAATGCAACCCTAGAACAAATTGGATTAATAGACATATACAGACTATATCATTCCAAAGATAAGGAATATATGTTCTTCTTGTCAGCCCATGGAACATACTCCAAAATAGATCATATCCTAGGACACAAATCAAACCTCAACAAAATTAAAAGAACTGAAATTATTCCTTGTTTCTTCTCAGCCCACAAGGCAATAAAGGTGGAATTCAACTCCAACAAAAAATTTTCATCCCCACATAAAGGCATAGAAATTAAACAACCTTATGCTGAATGATAGTTGGGTCAAGGAAGAGATAAAGGAAGAAATTATTAAATTCCTAGAACATATCAACAATGAAGCTATAAACTACCAAAATGTGTTGGATGCTGCAAAAGCAGTTCCCACAGGGAAATTCACCACATTAGATGTCTACATCTGACAAACAGAAAGAGAGGAGATCAACAATCTAATAAATCCAATCCCTAACTTAGCAGAAAAAAAGAAATAATCAAAATTAAATCAGAAATAAATTAAATTGAAAACAAAAGAATAATTCAGAAAATTAATGAAACAAATGTTGGTTCTTCAAAAGATAAACAAAATTGATAAAACTTTGGGCAGATTAACTAGAAACAGAAAAGTAAAATCTCCAATAACCTCAATCAGAAATGAGAAAGAGGAAATAATAACAGATATCATAGAAGTACTAGAGATTATCTCTGACTACTACAAAAAGCTCTACAAGCAGATTTGACAATGTGGTGGAAATGAACAATACCTGAAAACACACCATCACCCTAGACTTAACCAGTAAGAAACAGATCTCTCTCTCTTTTTTTTTTTTCCTGAGACAGAGTCTCACTATGTTGCCCTCAGTAGAATGCTGTGGTATCACAGCTAACAGCAACCTCAAACTCTCTTGGGCTCAAGCAATTCTCTTGCTTCAGTCTCCCAAGTAACCAAGGAACTATGGGTGCCCACTACAATGCCCAACTATTTTTTTTTGTTGTTGTTGCTGTTGTTGTCCTTGTTGTTTAGCAGGCC